TGTGCGCGTGACCTGGGCCAAGTTACTGCCCCTCTGGGCCTGTTTCCTAGTCTCTAAAATAACCGAGTACCCACCTCCCAGGGTTGCTGTAGGTACGCAGTTAAGGCGTAAACATGTGGATGCCATGTGGACGCCATGTGTGGCAGAGCAGGCACACGAATCCGAGCCACTCGCGAGTGTCCATTAGCGCTCAGGGCAGTGGGACGGGAGATGCCGCAGCTGCGTCCCGCACTGCGTGCCAGGGCTGCGCGTGCCCGGCCACTTTCCGAGCCGGTGGTCTCGTGGGGGGCTCTAAATGCGGCTGTAGCCAAATGAATGGTTTAAGCAGTTTACGGGGACAGCGGCTCTTTCTCTTAAGGCCTCACTCTGAGTGACTTATTCTTTTCCTAATTCCCGAACGTTTTCGCTCAAAGAGTATAGGAGCCTGTGGTTCAAGGGATTAGAAGTAGGGACTTGGAACAAAAACAGCGATCACGATCATTTGAGAAAAGCAAAAGAAGGACACTTGTTTGAACAGCGTCGTTTGTGGCACGCAGTGGTGGGGGACGGACGGTGTGGGGTCGCAGTTGCCGCACGGCCAGGAACATGGAAGTCTCCCGCGGTTTCGTCCTCACCCAGCCCTTCAGCCTGTGCCTGTGGTTTCATCCCTGGGTGTCTAAGTTTGGATTCCCCCACGAGCAGACCCTGAGATGGGAATGCAGAGTGGATGTTTGCTTGGGAAGTGATCCCAGGAAGCACAGGGGGTCGTAGGGAACGAGGAGCGAGAAGGGGCGCCCGTAGAAGGCACACCCGGCAACAGGTGTGTGCTCACGTTTGGAAAATCGGACTGAATTCCTGAAAAAACCCGAGCCAATTTTTCTATCAAACTTCATCGCCGGTAAGGACACCCTTCCAGCTGTTCTGGTGGGATTCGTGGAGCTTTCTTTAATTCCTCGCCTTCTTACCCTCTACAGTCAATCCATCAGACGTCCTAGTAACTAACTGCCTTGGCTCCCCTGCTACCACCCTGCTCCCCCACCGTCCTGTCTCCCCTGGGTCACTGCTGCAGGCTGCCAGCTGGTCCAGGCTGCCGTCACCTGTCCCCTGCCTCCTTGCTGCGGGCTCCCAGCTGGCCTCCCAGCTTCTGCCTTTCCTGTCTTCCGTGCTCTCTTCTCGACAATGTAGCCGGAGGGATCCTTTTGAAACGTAACTCAAGTCATTGTCATTTTTCTGCCCAGAATCTTGGAGCGACTCTCTGTTTCGCTTCTGGCACAAAGCTCAGTTTGCCTGCGGTTCGCCCAGCCCTGCAGTCGGCGGCTCCCTGCTCCAGCCCTGCTGCCTCTTGCGCCCTGTGCCGCTCGCGCTGCCCTTCCCTCGGTGACTGCCGTGGCTCCTTGCCTTCTTCAGACCTTCTCAAGTGACATTTTGTCGAGTGAGTGAATGACTGATTTGTGGAGCTCTGGCACAGTTTGCAGTGTGCTGTAGGTGCTCCGTAAATGGCAGCACCGTTTTCTCCTTTAATCCGCACCACTGCATGGTGTGGTAGCCGCTGTTATCCTTATCTTGCAGTGGGGGAAACTGAGCCCAGAGACTGACCAGCCCGGAGCCCCGTCTTGGCCCGGACTCGCGGGAAGGAGCACATCGCACATGCTTACGTCTCTGGATGTGAGCACGTGAGACAAACACAGGTGTCAGGAGATCGCAGCCTTACTGTGTTTGAGCCATGCGGACATTTTCTACTCTGTCCCCGTCGTTTTATCTGTTTTTAATTGCTGGTTTCAAACCACTAAATTTATTTTAAGAAACGCTTTTGAAAAGTACTTGTCCGTGCTTTTAATGCTGCGTCTGTTGCTTTTCTGAGCTAGGTTTCTCAAAAACTATTAGCGCTAAAGACCGTGTTCGTGGCATAGCTGAGTTGGTAAGTGTGGCATTACAAGTTTCTTTCTTTTTCTGCTGACCTTTGTGAAAGATGACAAGGGTCTGTGTAAATAAATGCATGATGTTAAGACATGACAGTAGGATTAGGGAAGAAATTAAAATGGCTAACAGAAAAGAGGAAGGGAGATGTCTCTATCGAGCAGTCACAGATAGAGGAATTAAAATTTGCCGTTGATACAGAACGTTGGAAGGCAGCAATGAACGGAAACTCCGTACACTCTGGCCAAAGCGTGTGTTTGGGGACAAGCTGCTTACCAGGCACCATCTCTGGAAGCAGGCACGTCTCTGAGTCCCTCATATTGAGCCAGCACCATAAGGGAGTCAGAACAGTGGTAAAGCAGTTGTATGCTGTGTTCACGGAGTCCAGGTTGGGGGCCCAGCAAACTCTTTGTGGGCTCTTCTGAGGAGCCCCCATGCTGGTTGACCAGCAGAGGCTGATCCTTTGAAACCAGAGGAGAACTTGCAGTGTGCTGTGTGCCAGGTTTGGTACATTTACAACCTGCCCCCTGCAGAATGATGAAACGGTCACAAACAATCCGAGTTACTCTGAATCCATTCAAAAATAAATGCATTAACTATTTTTTTTAAATTTTTTTTAATGTTCATTTATTTTTGAGAGAGAGGGAGACAGAGCACGAGTGAGGGAGGTCCAGAGAGAGAGGGAGACACAGAATCCGAAGCAGGCTCCAGGCTCCGAGCTGTCAGCACAGAGCCCGACACGGGGCTCGAACCCACAGACGGAGAGATCATGACCTGAGTCGAAGTTGGACGCTTAACCTACTGAGCCACCCAGGTGCCCCAAATCATACTATTTTATGTATTTATTTATCTTTATGAATATAATTTATTGTCAGATTGGCTTCCATACAACACCCAGTGCTCATCCCCGCAAGTGCCCTCCTCAATGTCCATCACCCATTTCCCCCTCTCCCAGCCCCCATCAACCCTCAGTTTGTTCTCTGTATTTAAGAGTCTCATAGTTTCCCTCCCTCCCTCTCTGTTTGTAACTATTTTTTTTCCCCTTCCCTTCCGCCATGCTCTTCTGTTAAGTTTCTCAAGATCCACATGTGAGTGAAAACATACGGTATCTGTCCTTCTCCGACTGACTTATTTCACTCAGCATAATTCCTTCCAGTTCCGTCCACATTGTTGCAAACGGCAGGATTTCATTCTTCCTCGTTGCCAAGTAGTATTCCATTGTATGTATAAACCACATCTTCTTTATCCATTCGGCAGACGATGGACATTTGGGCTCTTTCCATAATTTGGCTATTGTTGAAAGTGCTGCAGTAAACATTGGGGTACATGTGCCCCTGGGCATCAGCACTCCTGTATGTATCCCTTGGGTCAATTCCTAGCAGTGCAACTGCTGGGTCATAGGGTAGTTCTATTTTTAATTTTTTGGGGAACCTCCACACTGTTTCCAGAGCAGCTGCACCAGTTTGCATTCCCACCAGCTGTGCAGGAGGGTTCCCGTTTCTCCACATCCTCGCCAGCATCTGTAAATCATAACTGTTTTGCAGAGGACACTGCAGTCAAACCACAGAGGTGTTACAGTGACAGAAGCCCAAGTGAAGGGTCAGCTTTGATTGTGTTGTCTGCGTATGAAATGGTTTTCCCTTCATCGAGAGCATGGGTGGTGCAAATATGGGCCCTTTTCTTTGACACTGAATTAAATGGTTACCGTGTATGAGATGCTAGCTCATGTAACTTTCGCAACAGCCCTAAAGAAGGGCACAGTCCCCCATGTTCCACGTGAAGGACCTGGTGCTCAGAGGGGCTAGCCGACCGCCAGGAAGGAGGTGGCCTCTCACCCCGTGTCTCTGCCCGAACATGCGCCCAGCCGCTAGGCCTTTTCTCGTCTCACCTTTAGGTTGTTAGAGAGTTGCAGAGAGATCTGAATCCAGACCTTTTAACTTATAATTAGTAATAATGAAGTTTAGATCAGGCCAGAGTTTCCTCTGTGCTGCTGTCGAAAATGTGATTTGATAAGAAAATTGTATTCGGGAGACGGTAGGGTGTTTAACAAGACAGAACCCAAGCTCTTCTGTTGTTTAACATTTCTAACCATTGTTAAGCACTGATACGGTAGTGATCAGTAAGTGACTTTTTTACCTCTTTACAGATTCTTGCCTTTTAAAATTTTTTTAGAGTGCGTGAGCGTGCATATGCGTGAGGGAGGGGCGGGTGGAGAAAGAGGGGGAATCTTAACGCAGGCTCCACACTCGGCAAGGAGCCAGACGTGGGGCCCGATCCCATGACCCTGGGATCGTGACCTGAGCTGAAATCAAGAGTCAGATGCTTAACCGGCTGAGCCCCCCAGACGCCCCAGATTCTTGCCCATTTTTAAAAAAATTTTTTTAATGTTTGTTTATTTTTGAGAGAGAGACAGAATGCAAGTGGGTTAGGCGCGGAGAGAGAGGGAGACACGGGGGGGTGGGGGGAGAGGTGCAGAGAGAGGGAGCCGTCAGCACAGAGCCTGACGCGGGACTCAAACCCACAAACCGTGAGATCATGACCTGAGCCGAAGTGAGACTCTCAACCGACTGAGCCCCCCAGGCGCCCCGATTCTTGCCCATTTTTAACGGTCTGGTAAGGCCACCCCTTTGCGACCCAGTTGTAACAGTTTATGTCGTGTATAAGTATGCCCAAAAGCAAGACTGACTTTGTTTCCCGAATTACGGGCTCGGGAGTCCTGATAACTTCATACTTACTCTCTGAGGTAAAAGGGATAGAACGAAGCATCGGATGAAGAACCCTAGGTAACAAACTTTTAATTTCAAGTGGTGCCTTTCTGCGTAGCTGCCGAGTTCCAGCAGCCTTCCGACGGTGGTACGGTCTTCGGTCCTAAAACTGCTCCGCTTCAGCGATCGCTGGTCTCCGGGAGCCACGAGGCCGGTTCGCTTCTGTTTCCCGTGGCATTTAAGGGAGAGCTTTGGTCTGCCTGCGTTCTGCTCAGTGTCGGCCCCTAGGAAAAGACAGCTAGCGTTCCCTGCCCTCGAGGAGCTTTCCGTCTCAGGGCGAGCTTTTCGGCACGTTTTTCATGATGATTCTGCGCTTTGTCTTTCAGATAAGCCCACGCGATGGAGGGGTTGCTGCATTACATCAACCCGGCCCACGCCATCTCCCTCCTCAGTGCGCTCAACGAGGAGCGCCTCAAAGGGCAGCTGTGTGACGTGCTGCTGATCGTCGGGGACCAGAAGTTTCGAGCTCATAAAAATGTCTTGGCTGCCAGCAGCGAATATTTTCAGAGTCTGTTCACGAATAAGGAGAACGAGGCCCAGACCGTATTTCAGCTTGATTTTTGTGAACCCGATGCTTTTGATAATGTTTTGAACTACATTTATTCTTCGTCCTTATTTGTCGAGAAAAGCAGTCTCGCCGCCGTCCAAGAGCTGGGCTACAGCCTCGGGATTTCCTTTCTGACGAACATCGTCTCGAAAACACCTCAGGCACCCTTTCCAACGTGTCCCAACAGGAAGAAGATATTCATAGAAGAGGACGAAAGCAGTTCTCAGAAGAGAAGTGTCATCGTGTGTCAAAGCCGAAACGAAGCACAAGGCAAAACTGTCGGTCAGAATCAGCCCGACCTGAGCCACACCTCGCGGCCCTCCCCCGGCCTCACGGTCAAGACCGGCACCGGGAAGCCCCACGTCCCAAAGCCAGCGGAAGCGCCTCACGCGTCGCCAGTAGCCGAAAAGACTTGGCCCAGAGATGGCCCTGTGGGCTGCGCGAAGTCCCTCGAGCGTCCCGGCTCTGTGGACGACCCTCACAGAAGCAGCTTAGCGAAGAGCAACGCGGTGCCGCCTGGCAAGCCGCTGCAGGACAGAGAGGGGACGGACGAGAAACCGTGTCTGAGCGGCCAGCTGCCCAAAGGAAAAGCCATAGAGCTGGCCTTGAAGAGACCACGGCCGCCCGTCCTGTCTCTTCGAAGCGCGTCGGAGACCCCCTACGTGTTGAAGGAAACCGGCAAAGGAGGCGGCCCGGGCGAAGACAGGAACCTGCTGTACTATTCGAAGCTGGGGTTGGTGGTCCCGTCCGGCGGCCCTGGTTCCGGAAAGCAAGGCATCGACAGAAGCGGCCCTCTGGTGAAGAGTCTGCTCAGGCGCTCGCTGTCCATGGACAGCCAGGTTCCCGTCTACTCGCCCGCCATAGACCTGAAGTCTTCCCAGGGGCCCTCGGCAGCGTCCGGGGAGGTGCCCGCCAACGTGTTCTGTGCTCTGTCTCAAAAGCCGTCCGTGAAAGAGTGCGACGACGCGTCAGCCCTCGACGAGCGGACTCCGGCGCCCCAGCCGCACCGCCTCAGGTCCTTCAGCGCCTCTCAGTCCACGGACAGGGAGGGCGAGCCTGCCGTGGCCGAGGTGCGCGTCAAGACGGAGCCCCGCAGCCCGCTGTCGGACCCCTCCGACATCATCCGCGTCACCGTGGGAGACCCGGCGGCCGCGTCGTCCGTCACGAGAGACCTCTCCCTGAAGACCGAAGACGACCAAAGAGACGTGAGCAGACTCCCGGCCAAAAGGAGGTTCCAGGCGGACCGAAGACTGCCGTTTAAGAAGGTAAAGGAGGGCGAGCACGGGTCTCCGGTGTCCGAACAGAACTTGGAGGAGGGCGCGAGCCCTCCTCTCCCCGATGCCGACTTTCCAGACTCTGACTTGAATAAAGAGGAATTTGGTGAGTTGGAGGGAACGAGACCAAACAAAAAGTTTAAATGCAAACATTGCCTTAAGATCTTTAGATCCACAGCAGGCCTTCACCGGCACATTAACATGTACCACAACCCAGAGAAGCCCTATGCTTGCGACATCTGCCACAAGCGCTTTCACACGAACTTCAAAGTGTGGACGCACTGCCAGACCCAGCACGGCGTGGTGAGGAACCCGTCGCCGGCCTCTAGCTCGCACGCCGTGCTGGACGAGAAGTTCCAGAGAAAGCTCATTGACATAGTGAGAGAGCGAGAGATTAAGAAGGCCCTGATCTTTAAGCTGAGGCGCGGCAAGCCCGCTTTTCAGGCGCAGACTAGCTCCCAGGCCCAAGCCATCAAGAGGAACTTGCGGTCCCGAGCCAAAGGAGCGTACGTTTGCACCTACTGCGGAAAGGCCTATCGCTTTCTCTCGCAGTTCAAGCAGCACGTAAAGATGCACCCGGGAGAAAAGCCCGTTGGCGTCACTAGAGCTGCTAAGCCCAGGGAGCATGTTTCTCTGGAGAGCCCGGTAGAGAACAAGGAGGTTTACCAGTGCCGCCTCTGTAATGCTAAGCTCTCTTCTCTTCTAGAGCAAGGAAGCCACGAGCGGCTGTGCCGAAACGCAACCGTTTGCCCCTACTGCAGCCTTAGGTTTTTCTCGCCCGAGCTCAAGCGGGAGCACGAGGGCAAGTGCGAGTACAAGAAGCTGACGTGCCTCGAGTGCATGCGTACCTTCAAGTCCTCCTTCAGCATCTGGCGGCACCAGGTCGAGGTCCACAACCAGAACACGATGGCGCCGGCCGAGCACTTCTCCCTGCCCGGCCTGGACCACAACGGCGACGCGACCGCCGCCTCCAGGCCCCAGGCCCAGGCCGAGCCTCCGAAAGCCAACCACGCGGTGGCCGCCAAGGACGACGCCGCGTTCAGCGACTGTTCCGAGCAGGTGAACTTCGACTCCGAGGATTCTTCCTGCCTCCCCGAGGACCTCAGCCTTTCGAAGCAGCTGAAAATCCACGTCAAGGAGGAGCCCGCCGAGGAGGCCGAGGAGGAGGCGCCCGAGGCCCGCGCGGCCGCCAAGGACGCGGGCCCCAGCAAGGACAGCAGCCTGTGGCCGTGCGAGAAGTGCGGCAAGACGTTCACGGCGCACAAGCAGCTGGAGCGGCACCAGGAGCTGCTGTGCTCCGTGAAGCCCTTCATCTGCCACGTTTGCAACAAAGCCTTCCGCACCAACTTCCGCCTCTGGAGCCACTTCCAGTCCCACATGTCCCAGGCCGCCGAGGAGCCGGCGCACAAGGACCCGGAAGCCTGCCCCGTCCCCACAAACTCGCCGTCCCCGCCCCCGCTGCCCCCGCCCCCGCCGCTGCCCAAGATCCAGCCCCTGGAGCCCGACAGCCCGACGGGCGTGGCCGAGAACCCCGCGCCGGCCGCCGAGAAACTCTTTGTGCCCCAGGAATCCGACACGCTGTTCTACCACGCCCCGCCCCTCTCGGCAATCACATTTAAAAGACAGTTCATGTGTAAACTGTGCCACAGGACATTCAAGACTGCCTTCAGTCTTTGGAGTCACGAACAAAGCCACAACTGAAGGGCCGGCCCCTTCGGCCCCTTACGGAAGGGGAGGCGGTCCCCAGGTTTCAACCCAAACTGTGAGCCGCGCATGAGAAACAAAATATTTTTTGAAGAGAAGGAATAATAAAGGTTGGAAATTGTTACGCTTGAATAGAAGCTCGAGGGAAATCGATATTAATTAGCAAAGTCCTTACTCAGAAAAACTAAACTACGTCGTGCTCTGGACCTTACGGTCACACGACGACTGGACTTCATCGATGTTGAAATTTTGATCGATCCCGGTTGTTTGCATGGTTCCTCATTCCACGGTGTCAGTATACTCTTTTACTGGAGGTTGTTTTGGTTTTTTACTGATTTGCAGCCCGTGAAATACTACTTAAGTATTTCTTTCGATTATAGCGGACACCTAAGTTCTGCTTAAGCCTCAGCCATGTCCTGGAGTCCGCAGAGTATCAGGAGGAAGGGGAGAGTAGTCTGCAGTGTTGACTTAGATCTTAGGATACTTTAGCAATAAAACAATGATAAGCCTCAACTGTAATAAGTTATCCTGACACTTGATAACAATAAATATTTGGTATTTTGTGGTCACGTAGACATTCTTTTGTATGAAAGTTGTGAGGAATTTAAATCAGCAATAGTAATACTTAGATTTTTATAAAGTAACAAAACTTGCTCTTGGGTCACTTAATATAATTAAGGACGGGAGACTTGGGAAATGAAAACAGGATTTCTAGAAGGCCTCTAAGTTTGCAGAAACTAAGGTGGCGCTAGGCGTTGTGGTCAGAGCTGGCGCTCCGGGCTGCGTGTGCACATCCCGGCTTTCCGTTCTGACCACGCGGGGCACACGAAGCATCTGGCGTCCTCTGACTTACCGCTGCCACAGAGGGAAAATCCGAGCGCGTTTGGGACAGGAAACAAAGGTGGCACGAGGCGCTCACTGATGTTGAGTTTAACCTCGTTGGTGTAACAGATCGGGTCGGGACTCACATTCACGCTTGTGGATCCCAGGCCCCGGGGTCCGTGCGGCGCAGCGGCCCTGAGCCCGGAGTTGGCATCGACTTCCGGAGCTGGGGAGCCGGGGAAACCCCACACCGCGGTCTCCATGCGCCCTCGACGGCGGTATTTGCAGCGTTCGGTTTCCTGCCTCTCTCCTGAGGATTTCTGTTAGAATTTGTTGAGTTTATTGTGGTCAAACGTCCTCAGTGCAATCATTCTGCTCTGAGTCACTGCTTTTAGTGTCTCAGGGATCTGTGTGAAAGCGCGATCAAGGGTCCAAAATGAGTTTCCGCTACCTAATAAGGCCCACAGGGTTTGGGCTGCCTTTTTTTTTTTTTTCTTCTTTTTCCTATTTTGTATGAGTTGCAATTAAAAGGCTTTTGGGAGGGGCCGCCCGAGTTCAGTGGGTGTTTCTAAGGGGAAAACTGTCTCACTCGCAGGTACTTAGGTACGTACAAGTGGAAATACTATTGAAACTACAAAAGAGATCCTTGTCAGGTAGTGCTATGGATGAAGTCTCCCAAGTTTATTCATTTTTTTTTGCAAGCTGTTCTTTCAAATAAAAAAGAGACTGTGGCTGAGAAACAATCTGCTGAGTGTTTCCCCGCATCCCGCTGCCACAGAGAAGGTTTCTGGCCTCGGTCTCGTCACCCACGTTCCGGACCAGCGGGAGGGAAGACACGCCTAACTTTTTATCCATACACAAGCATTTTTATACAACAGTAGTGGACTTTGTAGATGAGAGAAATTGTGGACGAAATTTTGCCTTTCTGTTTCCTTTTCCATTTGAAAACTGTCCCAAGTCCCAAAGTATTTTTGAGTGGTCGCTTCCTATTTTTGTTCTTAGTTAAATTTGATGGAGAAAGGCAAATAAAATGAAGTCACAGCTACCGACGATTGCCATCTTTATATTTTCTGGAAGAAACCTATGCATTTGAAAGATAAAACTAAAGCCTAGGATTTTACGCGAAACATCAGGACGGGTTGTTGTTCACTGAGTGAGTCCCCCTTGTAATGTGCCGTTTCTTATTCGGAGCACCTTGGTAGCTGTCACTTCTTCAGAGGACAGTTTCCCTCAGAGTAGTCCCTGCTTCTGGCTGTTAAGAGTACGTGTGACAGTTCCACGGCACACATCATCTTGGCATTGTAAATTCAGTATCCCAGGACTTGAACCTCTATGCTACATTTTTGAAGATTTTTTGATAATGTTAATCAGTAAAAAATATTTTTGATCTAAATACACGCTCAGCGTATCTGTTAGACTTTGAAAATTGCCAGTGTTTTGTCTTGTTCGTTCCCATTTTTGTCTAGGCAAGGAGCGTAAGATTTCAAATAAAATTTTGAACCAAAAAACATTTCTAATGCAGTTCTGGTTTTTCTATTACTTTTTATACTGTACCTTCAAAGCGTCAGGCAGAAAGAGTTTATTTTGGTGGTCAGAAAGTAAGCTACGCTTCCTCTCACGTGACTGTTTTCAATGTTAGGAAGCAGAGTAATGACAGACACGTGAATCGCTTCATTTAAGAATGTCGATCTCAGACAGCAGGCAGATACTTGGTGTGAGACCAGTGGGTCTTTCCTTGTTACATCTCCAGCTCATAAAAGTTGTTGAAAATGTTTTTTCTGATTAGAATTAATTTTTGAAAATGTAGAAAGCTCATTATTCCTTGTAAGTATTCAGGATGCCTTTTTTTATGCAGTTGTGGAAAGAATGTAAGATGTTTTAATATATTCTTTGTTAATCTGAGAACTTGCTGTGTTGAACCATTTTCTTCATGTGGGAGAGGGCGGGAGGGGCCGCCTGAAACACCTCTTTATCAAAGCAAGCAGTGGAGGTTACAAATGGTGTGTGTTTTTTGTAGTTAATATTTCAACCTAATAGAATATTCACCTTTAAAACCAGTCATGGCTAGTGTGCGTTCGTTATTTTTATCAAAATACACAACTAAGGGTTCAACCGTGAGGTCATTTTGCATTTGTGGGGACATGTGTGTGGTTCTTGGTTTTCTGTTTTGGAGTGGATCGTTCACAGCCTTTTTAAAAATAGACTCCAAGGGCGCCTGGGTGGCTCAGTCAGGTGAGCATCTGACTTCAGCTGAGGTCACGATCTCACGGTTACTTACGTGGGTTCGAGCCCCGCATGGGGCTCTGTGCTGACATCTCAGAGCCCGGAGCCTGCTTCAGATTGTGTCGCCCTCTCTCTCTGCCCCTCCCCCGCTCACACTCTGTCTCTCAAAAATGAGTAAATGTTTAAAAACAAACAAATAATATACTCCAGCTCTTACTAACCAGTGGCGATTGTATCTACACACAGCAGCCATTGGTGTTGATGAGGGTAGAAGCTGGGGGACCAGAAGAAGATGCCCTTTCCTGGAGGCAGGGGGTATCTTCCTCTACGGGCCAGCGGTCCTTGCGGGTGAGGGACAGACAAGAACTCACTGGTCTAAAGTTGGCCTTCGTTCCCTCTGTGCGTGCGTGTGTGTGTGTGTGTGCGTGCGCGTGCGTACATGACCAGAATCCAGAACCTTAGGAAGTAAAGGTATTTGAATTTTCTTACTACAAAAATAGAGTTCATGTAGAACAGGTTTCTTTATAAATTGCACTAATTCATATTGGAACCCTACAAGTCCGTTTTGTCAATTTCTGAATTCTCATTGATGTTTTTTTGTAATAAGTGTGAAAAGCATTATTATTTAAATAATGCTAATACAGTAAGTTCTTTAACACTGGCTTTATTATTTTTTTTTTTTTAAGTTTAAAACATAGGGTTTTCTTTTGTGGCTTTAGCACTTTAAGAAGTTTTATGTCTCCATAATTTGTCACGGGCTTGCTAGGTGCTTCTCTGCGTGTGCTCTAGCGAGCACTTCTTCCGCGCGCCTGGGGGACCCTGAGCAGCCGTGCTTACCTGCTGGAGGAGGAAACATGGGTGAATGTCAGGTTTCTTAAATTCCTTTCAGAGACCATCATTTGGGAACCAAAGTATTTGACTGTAAATCTTGAAAATAATTGAGTACTCCCTCATCATTTATTAGTGCTGTTCTCAAATTGTCCACAAAGTTTCTCCTCGGTTAATGTTAATTTTCAAAAGGTGATAATTTCTTATTGACATTAATCCAGTACTTCAACATTTTCCATTGAATAAATGCTTATTATTAAGCAAATGTGGTTATAAACAAATTGCGTGTATTTTGTTGTCAGATGCCTTAGCAGACTAAATCATTGTTCAATTTTATTTAGGAATGAGCTTTTTGGAACTCAAAATTCATGGTAAAATAGGATTTCTATCTAATGTTAATCCATTGCTTTTTCTGTATCCAATTCCATCGTCTGTTTCCTTTGCTTAAATCTTGACTAAGAATGATTGGAGTCAATAAATTTGTACTGTATTTTGTTTGGAGTCGTGGTCTCTCTGGTATATTTTGGGCGTTGACGACCTTGATCAGCAGCATATCCGTTTCTGAAAGTAAAGACGAAGCCGTTCTGTGTGAGTAGCAGGAGGGGCCGCCAAGGGCTGTGAGAGCTCTGGTTTCCCCAGCGCGTCCAGGCTGCTTGTGGAACGGGGTTGGCAGTGAAGCTGCAGTTCCTGGGGCGCCCCAAATACGGCACCGTTAAGCCACATAAGCAGCAGTTTTTGCCTATCTACCTTTTCGTCTGCTGTTCATGTTAGTTTTTGAAATGCCGACGGGGTAAAATGCACGGACAGCACGTTTACTCCAGGTTGACGTGTCAGCAGTAATTTTCAGGGCTTCCAGGTTGTGGCATCGTCTGCCATCCTCAACGAGGCCCTTCCGTGATGCCAAGATAGATTGCCTTCTTATGTCACTAGCTTTCCCCATCAGGGGGTATGAGTCGTGGTCGCCAGGCTGACTGCGGGAAGGGAAGGAGCCTGTCCGCAGTGGTAGCCAGGCTCGCACCCGGCTTGCCCCCGAGCCCTCTTCCTCCCCGGAGCCCCTAGCCCCGTCTTGGGGGCCCCTGGCCAACAGTTTCGTGGTCACGCTGCACCTAGAGGAACAGTATATA